TAATTTTGAAGGTAACTAACCACATTGTGAAATACTTTTAGTTTTAGTAGAGGTTTTACGGCACTCGCAACTGCATAAAAGGTCATATGAGCGCCAGAAGATTAGAGGTGTTACAAGAGAGTAACAAACATAAAAAAGAAAAAGGGGAGATAAGGATGATAGATCTTTGACAGGAAAGAAGAAGCAAACCACACCAGAGCACCCGCCAACCACCCACTGAAATACTTTACTTCATCTGAGGTCATGAATATTTCAAGACACATTGTCTTTGTAATTTTGGTTGTTAGTTACTTCTACCCTTTGAAAAAACTGAGTCTTTTTTGCTTATTTCTTTACTGTTTTCCCTTTCTGTTTATGCCCTTTGACTTCAAGCCTTGACATAAAATGTATTCATCTTCCTAGGAAACAGAAAAATTGTAATTTTGTTTTTTGAAATTACTCAGCCTGTTAAAATTAAGTACAGTCGAACTTGTGTAAGATAGAATCGCAAGCCAGGTATTGTTTTAGACAAGGGAATTTAGGGGAAGATGGACTGGGTTTCAGAGGCTCAGTTTAAAGGGTCTCTTGTCCGGTAAGCGAGCAACGATCAAAACTTCACTTCTCTCAAGTGCTATCCTCTCTGATAATGGCATGTGTCAGTCCTACTTATTCATTACCCCCAGCGCTTGCATTTCATAGGTCCACTGTTTGACCTGTCTTAGCCCCACCCATCAGTGTAATAAACACAGTCAACCAGTGCTACCCCTTCCATGTTTAACAATGATTTGAGGAACTCTTTTCTCGGCTGGCTGTACAATCAGGGCAGCAGGCATTAGTCAAGCTAATTTTACACCTCTGGCATCTGGTTACCTGTGAAAGTTACAGTGCTGGAGCGTTACTGGAGCACTTTCACAGCACTGATGAGATTTCATACCCTCACCACACTGACTAATATGCACAGCTAAGGGCTCACATGGCTAGGGTAACATCATAGGTATGGGTAACATCAACCCCCCCCCAAAAAATATAAAAATTGCACCCTTACTCCCCATCTTTGCTGTCGGTTTTGTGTAAAGGTTAGAGACACTGGAACCAAACTTGATTGTTTTGTTTCAAATTTTCAAATTGGGGCTGAGTGGGGCAAAGCATTTTCCATCTTAGACTGGTAAAACCTCCGAGGGGAAGGAATTTCTCTTTCCATTTCAGTGTTAAACAGGTTTCCATTTTATAGAGGTAATAATAGAGGAATTTATCAAGGGGTGAGCCTGGAGATTTCCATATGACAGGTTTCTGTCTAACACAGGTTTCTTTTAAAGCAGGTTCGACTGTATACAGGCCTACTCAAATTTACACAGAAATACGATTTTATTTTATGGCGTCAGAACTATAGTGTAACAAAATCTCTGCACCATTTTATTCACAGCTATTGAAAACTTTAAAGTTTGTTGATGAATTATTATACATTTCTGCTTTCCAGATATTGCTGTTGGAGCTCCCTATGAAGAGGGATCTGGAGTCGTTTATATCTATAATGGTGCTAAAAATGGACTTTATTCTGAACCATCCCAGAGGATTGTTGGGAGGGACATACACAGTTCCTTAAAGACATTTGGTTGGTCTTTTTCACGACCCTGGGATGTGGATAATAATCACTACAAAGGTAATGTTTATTTATGTTCTAGGTAAATAGAAGAGAGTCAACTTGATTTTTCTTTTTTTGCTGAAAAGTTGTAATAATGAGAAGTTGCCTATGACAAAGGTTGATTCTCTTAAAATACATATATTATATTGATAAGTTGGTGACTGTTATGTACTGTTCAGAAAGTGATCGAGTGTTATGATTCTCTTCATGCTCTGGACATTTGCATAAGCTGTGGCTCTGTGGAATATTATTTTATTGGCATACTGTGGAAAGTATGCCTGGAATTGGACCAAAATATTGATTGTTAGTTGGAGCTCTTATATGTTCTCTCCTTTTTCTTTTTCGTGTTTCTATTTGCCATGTCTATGTTTGGTGGACAATGGCCATAAATGTGCAGTCTTATTACAAAATTTTATTCAATGACCGCTACATTTGACGAGAACAAATGTTTACTAAAAATGGAAAAGGAGGAAAAGCAGAGCTTGTGAAAGATTCACTGAAGAAAATAATACTCGTATAGATTAAATAATTCTTTAAAACAATTTTCCTTCAGATTTTGCCGTTGGAGCGTTTGAATCAAACATGGTGGTGCTGCTCCGAACTCGGTCAGTGCTGGATCTGTTTGCCAGCCTTCAGGTGTCCCCTTCTGTGATAGACATCAAAAAGAGACCAGCCTGCTCCCACCAGGGCCACTCCTGGCACTGTTTTACAGCACATCTCTGTTTAAAGTACAGCGGGAAAAATTTGCCTCCATCCTCAGGTAATTACAGGCTTTCTACTTTTGATTTGGTGAATTTTTATCTCTTTCGATCCAGTGTCAATGAAGACTGTGAAACATTGGATGACTGCTTTGGCTGTTTTTAGCTCTTTTGGCCAGTTCATGGTCTTGCATTTGTCAACTAAAGAAGGAGGAATAGTTATAAATGCTATTCATTTTTAGTGTTTGTCAGTAGGAAATTGAAAGTATCCTTTTTCTTATATATATATATATATTAGTTAATGGGATTGCTTTATTATAAATCAACTCATTCAGGATGTAATTTTTTTCTGGAGTTGAAACCAACTGGATGTAATTAATTTATAACCCCGCGAATCATTTTTAGGGTATGGAAATAAAAAGGATTTTACAGATAGTGTAGTAAACATTGAAACAGCAGTAATATTATATCATTCGAAAGGTAACTGAATGTTGATGTTCACTGATGTTGCGAAAGCAATAGAATGAAACAAATTGTGGACCCTGTTCAAATTGATGATATATCTGTGATACTCTTCCAAGTTGAAAATTAGGCTTCCGTTGCCTCAAGTCTGTAAAATCATTTTTCAGCCTGGACCAATTTGTTCCTTCTTTCATACTCACTTGTGAAATTAATTTATTCTTTCAGATCCACTGATCAAATGCTGCTAATGCTATAAGAAATTCATATTCCATAGATTTTTATTTGAGGAAGAACGTGGCTAATGTATAAGAAAAGAACAAAATAATTATGTTGCACACTTTTTGACAAAACTAATTTTGTGTTTTTTGTTATTGTTACAGAGGTGAACATGACAATGACATTAGACACTTTGGAGAAACACCGTGGGGAGAGGTCAAGGTTGTTTGTCCTGAGTCGAGACGACATGGAAAAAGAGACTGTCAATGAGCTTGTGACTCTACGCTTAGAGCGAAATTCCTGCTGGAAGAAGTATGTCTACATCAGGGTAAGTGACTTGCTAACTTGTTGTTGGATGCTTCACAACAAATATTTGTCGACCATTTGAAATCGCTTCAATGCATGAATGGTGTAGTATTCGAAAATATATAAGAGAAAGAACAAAGTCGTGCTTCCACAGAGAAGTGTGTTTTGCTATGCACAGCACATTACATCATAGCGAATGAGTTAACTTGTAAAACTTTTTAAAAATTAAATGAACTACTTTGTAAATGTATGTTAAGAATAATCACTTCATTAAAAAAAATGTTGCCGGGTACTGTTGAAATGATTTTGAAAGTTGCAGAAACTTACAATTAGTTATTTAAAAATCTTTGTTCTTGTATCCAGCACATTGGAGTCATGTTAGTGAAAAAGAAATTTGTAGTCAATCTTGCTTCTCTGCTTAGTTCACTGTTAAAGTCAGTGTCCATGCCCCAAGGTAGCAAATGGAATTTAAGTTAAAGTGTTATATTCATTTAGTTGTTCTTACTTAACTTCAACCCTTCTTAGAGAATAATGGAGTGGAATCTGCTGACCCCGTGTGTAAAACAGTTATACGATAGTAGCAATAAAGACCATTAGGCCAGACACTATAAAAGATTTTTTAAAAACCAGGGGCATTAGGCTGGATGGATACCCTTATATTATTAGACTGGAACTGGCCTAAAGGCTAGCTAAAGGTGGCTGATCCTTGATATGAGCCTTCACAAATTAGAAATGCAGAAGCCAACAGAGAAGCCTGCAAGCTGCACATATCCACAAGTGATAATGAAGCCTCAGATTGTGGTGAACTCTTCTCTGCCATGATTGGTCTCATTGGACATAGCAGAAGCCACAAATCAGCTTTATCCATATTTCTTTTATTTTCCTATAAGCAATATGCTCCTTTGCAGATGCTTTGGTAATGGTCAGACATTGACTGACAAGCTAGTATTACTAAATTCAGTTGTATGCAATAACTGTTGAGAAAGAAGAGTTGGCATGAGTATTTGTTCAAGAAAACCGTTTGAAATGACCTTGCAGTTTTGTACAAAGCTATGGTGTAGCCTACTTTGTATTGTTTTTCTTTTGTTTCTTTTTCTTCTAGCCAAACAGCAGAGATATAATCACTCCTCTACAGCTGCAAGTGGATTTTGAAATTGCTTCAAACTCAATTGGCATTGCAAGCATGTGCACCATTTGTCCTATTCGGAACAAGTACATACCCAATACTGTGACCACCACTGTGAGTAATATTTTCTTCATTGTGATGGAAACTGGAAACAAAGAAACTTTGAATATTTTATTTTCATCTCAACTGATCAGTGTAAGAATAAATGTCTCCTTCAGAACAACGTAATGCGGAGTCTAGAACTAAGCAGGTGATCTTTGTTCAACAGTGTGAGTTATGTACATTGTGCTTAAATAACTTAAAAACAAAATTTCTGTTGTTTACCTTATTGAACTGTTTTTCTGTTTGTTTTACAAGCTTCCTTTTTTAAATATTTGCAGACTCGGTTTGCTCTTGAATGTGGGGATGATCATGAATGTCACCCTGATCTGAGTCTGAAAGCACGACCCTTGTTCAAAGACGACGGCAAATTTTTCCTCATTGACACTTCTCCTTGGTTTGATGTTGAGCTGACTGTCGGCAACACGGGTGAAATCTCTTACTTGACAGTGTTAACTGTTGAGCACCCACCATCAGTTGTATATTCCTCCCTGCACGTCGTGGGTGGCGGCTCTTTTCCCATGTGTGCCCCTGGTTTGGCCAATACAAACTCAACATACTCGTATCTGCTCTGTGATCTCTCGGAGCCTGTCAGGACTGGACAAAAGGTATGCTTCTGATTTTCTTTTGATTTACTTTCTTGATATGATCAGTTTTTGTAATTTGTTCCTTTGACTAGTATATTCTTTGTCCCAGTGTTTCTATTTAGCCAAAACTTGTAACTGCATGTGAGGCAACGGAAGGTACTTCAGAAAAATGTAAATCTTGAAATACTTATTAATGCTAATCAATAATTCTATTTAATTTGTGTTCATCTTAAGGACATTTTCTTGATTAAAGGAAATGATGGTCCAGTGGAATTCCCAGAGGGGTATTTCTTTTGCCTGATAGTTTGAGAATTTCTTTTGTATTTCATTTTGGTCAGTTTCTTACTCCAGTATGTGTAGACCACTTGTCGAAGGACTGCTTAGTTTAGGTTCAAACATCAAGGTAATGTACGTGGCTGTACGTAAGACAAGAACTGCTAAAGTACACTGGTGCCTTTTTGACTGATACTACATGTGTATTCTGCCTGTGGAATGGTTTCTTTTGTATGGCCCTGTATTATCAAACTTAGAAAAAGATAACCTGAAGTTGCTGCAATCAAAGAATTGAAAGTACTGATTTTGAACACTGCAGTTTTTTTTTCAGCTTTGTTTAGTTTATCCAACAATTAATTCAATGTTCATGCTCTGTTCATTGGACAGTTTGCAAATTGTCACATGACGGACCCATGATATAAATCGTTAAAAAAATTGTGGTTGAAAGGACTTTGAAAAGTTGAGATTGAAGAATAATCATTGCATGCACTTATGAGCTTCACCCAAATATAGGGTGACCATAGAAGCTTCATTTCCCTTTAGATTAGTACTGTAGTCTCTGCCTAAGATCCTGGTGCTCGTGAGCAAGGAAAATGCGGGATCTTAGGCGAACGGGATCTTAGCCGAAACTCCAAGGGAAGAATCCATGGTGAACCATGTTCAGGCCCAGGACTGGTAAAATGGTCTCCCTTTACTGTAAAATGAATTGATGTGACCCCATGGTGGGTTTCTGACTTTTGGCGAGCAAAGAGTGGTCAACTTTGATGACCAATCACAGTAGCATGAGGCATGCCATTTTCACTTATTATCCTTTCATGAGTCTCAAGATCTATGCTTACCCAGTTGCTCTTCCCCTTTCATCATCATCATCAATGTCTTTCACGCCCGGCTGGGTATAGGCCATATATACAAGCTCCCTCCATTTATTTCTGTCCTGGGCCATCTTTCCAAGCTCATTTCAAGTGAATTTCGTCTCTCTCATGTCCCTTTCCACCCATCTCCTCCATGTTTCTTGTTGCCTACCCCTACCTCATACTCCCTGTGGGTTCCACTGCAATGACTGTCTTGTGATGTTTCTGCTGGGCTTTCTGAGGATATGTCCCATCCGTTGCCACTTTCTTAATCTTAGTCCTGTTTCTACTTCTATATCCTTTTGTCCTGTCCTTTCCCACAACTCTTCATTTTTTATTTCTTCCCCTTTACCAGTCCAAAATTAATAGCTTTCTATCTTCAACTGAGTTTCGCCGGCCTTTGTAGTTATGCACCATTCCGTTGTGACCACACCAATTTAAATTCAGTCTATTTTGCAAATTCAGGAGTAGAGACAACCGCTGCCTTGGCCATAGAAGAGTCCACAGTTCGATATGATCCCGCCTAGAGCGAATTTGTAGCCCCTACCCACCCAGTGTGTGGTGTAAGCTTAGGTGGAGAGTTCAGATGTGAGTGAGATGTTGGGAAAAACAAATGTGTCGGTGAGTTCACATCTCGGTGTGATCCCGTATGAGGCAAACATTGTACCGTTTCATCGACATTTACAGTGGACATGTGATCACATTCACAGAGTGATTGATCTGTGACGCAGTGGGCAGTTAAATGATCTTTCAAATTTTCACTCTTGGTTGATCTGCTGTGCCATGCGTTTTTTTTTTTCATGATCAGAAATGTGGGATCTTACCTGAACGTGGACTTTCCGAACGTGATCTTAGGGGTGACTTTTGTGAAGTAAAAATTTTGTTTTCTTAAAGCAGCGGCATCTTAAGCAAACCAGTATGTAAACTGTGGGATTTTAGATGGTGACTACTGTACGTATAATTTTGAATTGCATAGCATTACAAATTTACTAAATTTTTCTTGTTTCAATGGTGCATTTCCATAGACTGTTCTGAGAATGAGGTTTTACGCTCAAGGAGTTCCATACGATGTATTTGAACTAAACATGAACTTCAATGTGAGCTCCACAAGTGAAGAAGGTGCTCATATTATGTTGGACAACTCAGTTCAAGTCAAAGTCCCGTTACAAATGAGGACTCAACTGAAGCTTGCAGGGTGAGTACTTCCTGTTATTGAAGGATCATGAGCTGCATACTTATGCTATTGCTTTCATTGAGTAATCATGTCTGAAATTATTCAGTTATAGAAACCTTTTTTGTTTGTTTTTTTCTCATAATCTCATACCTTTCTGATCTCTATAATATTGGATTTAGGAGAGAAAAAGTTTATTCTTTGAATTACTCATGATTGTTGATAGCAATGCGGAGGCTGCTTGGCTTATGCCATATGATTTAGTGCCATGTCGAGACCTTCCCTTGATTGGAAATACACTGAAATGCTTTAGAGCTATAAAACAAATTTATTCTATTGAGCTGCTACATGTTTTCTTATCTCTGAAAAAGTAAAAATCAGGTTTTGAGATAAATGCACTGAAAATAAAACTACAGTCAATCAGTTATAGATGATAGTGATTGTACTGTAACTGTCATGTGATGATTGTGCATAATTATTCCTGCATAATCAAATGTCCTGTGCTGTGAGTCCATGGAAAAGATAGATGCTTCTAATGCCTTCTTAGATGTTAAAATCCCAAACACATGATGAACCACACTCACACTTATGTTTCAGAGTGTCCTTGCCCAGTCAAGTATCTCTGCCCCATGCAAACAGGAGGTCAGAGGATATGACAGAGTTTGTCTCTCTCACCCATCTATACATCCTGCATAACCTTGGACCCAGTCCCATGCCTCATGGACAGCTCACTTTGAAGTTTCCCGAATTAGACTGGTTCCTGGTGGAGAATATATATGTAAGTGTTATACCCTGTTTTTTCTTGTTCCAAGTATACTTATAGCTTACTATGAAAGGAATTGTTAGAAGGAGACTTTCAGGATAACCTTAAATGGTGAAGGGATGAGATGGAAGTTTTACTCCGTTGATGTGGCATCTGGAATCTATTCTGTTTTCCCATAGTCTATCCTAAGGCCTTTCAGTAAGAGGGAAAACTTTAAGTGACTATGTGCAACTGTTTTGAGTATCAGTTTAAGTTCCATAGGTATAGTTCTTGTTTGTGTGTCATGGGGGACGCTTTCAGTGTCAAGGACTTAACATGATCATTCCAGGAAGGGATACAGCAGTTAATTTTTTTGTATGCATTTTCAGAGAGTGTATTTTCTAGCTTTTGAAAAAAAAAACCCACTTTTCAATCATCTTTGCTGAAAGAAGGGAGCCATAATTTAGATCTTTTAAAAAATGTTCTTTGGCTTTTTGGTCAATGGATACTTTTACAATGATGTAATTGAGCATGAAACTATAGTATTCTAAGTGTGTATCCCGTTACTCATTTCAAACTTTTCAAATGTCTTATTAAAGTTGGTAATGGGCTTGTGATTTTCATCTTCATATAAGGCATGGATCCCTATTGTAACTCTCTTTACATCTTCACAAGTGTTGACTAAAATATTTCCTTGCCCTATGCCTGAGAAACATTACAATTACTCTGAGCTTGTCAATATATCTTGTTGTAGGCAAAACACTTAATGGAAACTGCTGGTCATTTTCATGGGTGAGGCTTTGCATAAGTTAATATTTTGTTGTTTTCTGAACTGAATGTAAGTGCTGAAAAGATGGACGCAACAAATGAACTGCTGTATGCTTTTCCCACCCCTTCCTCTGTTTTTGTATGTCTATAGGTAGAGAGGAAGTCTGTGACTGATGCCTTCTCCAAAGTTCCTGTAGAATGTAACCAGTCCCCGAACCGCTCTCATCCAGACGCTGCACACTCTGGTGATGGAGATGTGGAAGGAGGGGCTTTGAGTGATGGCTTCAAATACCTGGTAGCCCTCTGTTACTTTTGTAATGGCATGGTTTATTTGGTACTCTTTGTGTGGTTTGTTCTTCTACTTTTTTTTTCCTTTTATTATTATACTATTATGATACTGGTCATAATTATCGTGCAGACTCCCAACAAAATTGCATCTCGGCTCAACAGGAAGGTGCCAGTGCTGGGGCTTATTTCTACTTTCCAGTGTGTGCTCATTAATCAAAAGAGAAAAGTAATTTTTTCACCTGCTAGGGTTATATGGAGCTGCTCTCTTTTATTGTCTTCTTTATTATTCCTTTAGCTTTCTGTCCTCATTATTTTCCATCTTTGAGAATTGTATTCGTATTTATATCAAGTAGCACATTAATTTAGCTTATATAAAAACAAATAAATCTTAACCTTAGTTCTGGAAATCATGATTTTTTTTCCCTTTTCCAGACCTGTGAGAATACTGTGTGCCTCACCATCACTTGCTACGTGGGCCTGATGCATGTCTCAGAGACGGTGTATGTCAACATGAGCCTCAGCATGCGTACGCGGGTTCTAGATGAACTCAAGGTCTGCATTAGATCTTTAAAAGAATTATAGCTGCTATTATTATTATTACTACTACAATAATAGTAATAATATTACAGGGTAATTAAAAAGGAATGAACCAATTTCATTATGTAATATTCTCTAATGAGGAAAAGCAATAGAAAACTCCAGCTGTCACAAGTATTGTACTCACAATCAACTTTTTTTTCCTGACTTACAAGCGTTCAATGTGGCAACTGTTTTTGCTCAGACTGATTTAACCATTTAGGGTCCAGCAAAATACTTCATTATCTTTACATTAACTCACTTGAGCCTATTCCCGTATATTTATGGAATGCCCCCTTGTCCCTTTGGCCTAATCCCGTGTGTTTACGGGATGCGCCTTATCAATCGATATCTGCAGTGTTTTCAAATTACAATCTACGGGAAGTGATGAGCCTACAGTTGACCCACTTGTTTCGTTTCGTGAAAAATTTGGTAAAGTTATGTCCGATACTTTTTGAGCTGTAACGAACTAAGTCGGCCACCCCTGTATTGCGATAGATTATTTTATTATAAATAGAGCGCAAAAAATATTGCGTGACCCCAAGACATTGCCATTTCAAAATACTGATAAAATAAAAACTATTCTGACAAATTAGATGCAGTTTTCTTTTTCTGTGAGGGTATTTATTTCTGTCTCTTGTTGCATTAAAAAAAATAATGATAGCTTTCATAGTTGTTTTTTTTTTTTTAACTCTTCAATAAAAACCCGAAAAGCACCAAGCTGCAATGGTTGTGGGGTGGAAAATAGCTCAGGCTGAAGTGAGTTATTACATAATGCTAAAAATATCTGGACTCCTGACTCTTTAATGTCTTGACGAACAGGGAAAGTAAAGGAATGTGTATGCAAGTTAATTAAAGAATATTGCTTTTGTAATATGACACTTTTTGCTAATGAGAAAAAAAAAAAAGAAAACTTCTCCAATTGTGCAAAGCTTGAAAATTTTTTTCAACAAATTCAAAAGAGAACTTACCGTGTTCTGATCCTGATCTCCTCAGCTTTTGATCGCTGATGAAAGTCTGTCCTCACTTAAGTTTCAGCTTAAAGAAATAAAGCAATTCTTTTGTCTTTCATTCAAAGACAAAGTTTATATAACATTTTATTTTATACTAACGTCATCTTCAGGGTCCACAGCAGGCGAGAGTCATGACTCTGGCTCCTATGTGGTAATTTAGGAGCTAAGTTTATGATTTGAAATCTTGTAACAGTAAAAGAAGTAGATTATATTGAAAGAAGTGCTGTTATTTCTTGGATATATAGGATGTTTTTTTTAATAGACAAAAAATTAATTTGCATAGAAAAATCGAATTGGGTCGTATTCCACCTCATTTGTCATTGAAAATTTGAGAAAATGTGTGTTTGTTCAACAACCATTTCCAGGGCCCGCAACAGGTTGGAGTCACAAGTGTAGCTTTTATGGAAGAGCCAGCATACACAGTGTATCACTCCCTTGCTTCCAGCCATAACGCCTCGGTATGTTAAGGAGGGGGATTAACAGTTCCTAAGTGATCCTTCAAGATTATTACCTTCTATTGTACAATTGTAAAGTTAATTGTTTTATGCAGATTCGGAGTTAGTCTGTTCTGTTTGGTTGTTGTGATTTGAACTCATGTACACTGTGCACAGCTGTGTTTGTGTTAAGGGGGGAAGTATGTGTCTCTCTCTCTCTCTCTCTCTCTCTCTCTCTCTCTCTCTCTCTCTCTCTCTGTTTCTCTGAATGTGTTTGGTTGGTTAATTATTTATCAGTACTTGTGTGACGGAACTGCTGTTTTTTTTGTGCATCTCATTGTAAAGAGAATTTCTCTCTAGGGATTAATGACATTGTCTTTTTAACCTCCTTTTATGTGTACCTATATATATGCGACTCGTACATTCATTTGACCAGCATCAGTACTAGGCCACTACCATAAGCTGTCAAAACGCCTTTTTTTCTTCACAGCAGTTTCGAGAAAAACAGGCTTTTTTGTCAGCGTAACCATATATAGAAATAGAGTCATTCCAAAATTTGAATTCTAATTTATTGAAAAAATGCTCACTGTTTCAATTTGATTTTTTCACAAAAGTTGGGTATCTGATCAGGTTTTTGATTTAGCAAATGAAATTTTGGTGCCAAAATGAAAAAAGGCATTTTGTCAGCTTACCTCAGAGTAGTGAATGGGTTCTGTTCTTTGCCTTTCACCGAAAAAGTATGAGTTCAGTGTCCAACTGAAGAGGACATATCATCAAATATCTCCATTTTTCAGGGGAAATTGTTTCATATGTCATGATTGGGCCTCACAGGCTGAGGCAAAGCAGCCGGTCCACTTGATACCGTAATCTAAATTTGTCAATGGGGGTGTAAAACATATCCACAAAAGAGAAAAAATAGGTGACCTGCATTGCATGTGTGCAGTGCCACTAGTCAATACAACAGGCTTTAGATTTAAGTGATTCAGCCTGCAGATAATTTTGACCCCCAATGCAAATAATTTGTGACCTTTTTGTGACCTCACAGACAGTTAGTATAGATAAATATTTATATTTTATAAAACGCTTTGTGTGGCGCATAGGAATGTTCAGAATAAGAAATACTATTCAATGACTCCAGAAAAAATGGTTGAAATGTAAGCGGACAGAAAAAAGATGAGAGGAAAGTGATGCAAAGAAAGGGAGCAATAGATAAGAGCTGCTCTGAACGGCCCTGTGCCTGTGTCAAAACATAGGAGATAGTCAGCCGCT